AGAACATGCCTGAAGAGGCGAAAATTTGGATAAATTATAAATAAAGTTTATGAAAAAGGCCTTTTTCTACCAATACGTATTATTGTCTCTTTTCCAAAATCATCTTTTAAAAATATACTATTATAAAAGTATTTATTTTATTTTTAGCTTTTATATTTGATTTTTATTTTAAGTATATTTATTTTAATATATTATATATAATATATTACACATCTGCTTATTTTCATTAACATGACAGGTGCGGATAAACAGTTAAAGATAAAAAAAAATATCTTATGATAGATATTAATTTTTATTTAATAATATACATAAAATAAATGAAAAAATTAACATCTTCAGAACCATAATAAAGTTAGTTACACACTGTATGGTTTCTTACCATTTACATTTCTAAATGTTTTGTCAATTTAAGCCTATCATCAAATTTAGGTTTTAAAATATGAAATACTCTTTAGTTATCCACTTTTGTAATAAAGCATATCTTATATAACCTTATAATATTTATCGCAAAATCTACTTCATTTGTTTCTCCAATTGAACTATGGTAATATTTTAATACAATTTCATGAATATTATTATTATTTTTAGAAATTGGTAGCTCTTTCTCATTATTAGTTTTACTGAAATTTTTGACTTCTGCGTTAGATTTTCTCTATTTTTTTTTTGTAGATAAATAAACTCCTCCTACACTTTCTAGTATTTTTTTAATTTATTAAAATTTCTTAAATAAAACAGAAAAACATCCATTTAGGTTCTCCATCTGATTATTACTACTTAAAGGAGTAACGGATTATTTAGTAATGTTTGTTTACTATTGGTATGTCGTTCATATTTGATTTTGCAACATACGGGAGTCAAAAGTTGGTATTTTTTTCTTTAAGCTACTATAAGGTTCGCTGGCGCCCACAACCGCGGCTGTTTGCGGTTGACCACTGCTTTAGTGGAATAGAAAGGAACCTATTTCGATGGCGTTGATCGGCATTCTAGGTATGAATCATATCGAAGCTCCTCCTACCTGACCGCTCCTGAAGCAGTGGAGCTGGTGGTTCGGCGGTTGTAGGTTATGTTATAATATCAGATCATTGTTTTGATTATAACAGTCAAGTTTATACGTTTTATTTCCTATGTTTCTTTAAAGTCTGGGAAAATTATAAGAATTATTGTTTAAAACTTAAACAATGCACAAGTAAATGATTTTTTTAAGGTTGAAGTAACAAGATTATTTATTTATTTATTCCACCAACAATATTTTACAGCGAAATTCAAATATACCTAAATCTAAATGATATTAAATAAATTAAAGAATCCGACAAATTTTAAAATTAGGTAAATACTAAAATTCACCCATTGAAAAATCGATTTGTATCTTTTAATTAAAGTGGTGATTTACTGATTACTAGTGATAAAACGATATAACATCGCCTGCTGTGATTTAATTACAAATTTATGATATTTATCACTCATCAATTATGTAATAATTACTATTACTTTTCAAACTAATAATATCTAATATCAGAGGGACTATCAATTTTTGGTTGTTCATCGAGACAATAGCAAACAATGTCCAAGAAGGGATTTGATGATTTGAATGATGAGAATCTCATCGAAATAATGATATTCCTTCTACTTATGAACAACATGTCCTCTACATCTTCTTTCTCCTCATTTTTATATCTTCGAAGATAAAGCGAAATAAATTTTCGAAGGTTATAGGCATAACAACCACAATGAGCAGTTTCAGCGATATAGCTACTAAACAGCGATCGGCAGCGTGGACCGCGCCAGCGAAATAGTACCTTAAGCAGTTTCGTATTACCTCGTAGGTGAAATACCATTAATTAGCTTCCATTATTAATCCTAACATTTTTATTTAAACTCTGACGTTTTCATAAGTAAGTTTTTTATGTAAAGCTTATGTCAATATACATTATAATAAATATATGTATGGATTGTAAGTCTGAACCTTTTTTTTTTTTAATCTAAAAAAGGGTATAAAGTCTTTGATAGAAATCTTCCCTTCCATCTGAGCATACAAGTTTCAAATTGTTTTTATGTCTAACATAATTTACTGTCAACTTAAGTTGCTGCTCACATAAAATGATGGACAGATATTTGTACGGAATGTATATCAAACTATTATAAAAAAAGTACAGTTTTTTTTTTAGAAATATAATAATCTGTCACGTGGACAATAATTATAGTGAGATATAAACACATTCACACCACCTATTCAGAAAACATAAAATTAACCAAAGTAAGATAATAACTAAATAATAATACAACAACTATGTACAATAAAAAATAAAATAACCTAAAGTTAAGTAAATTAAAAACATACAAAGTCATTCATGCCTATATACAATCAGGTAGGGAACACATGCTTGTTCCTCCAACTACAGAGGGAAAAGCAGGACTCCAAGAGAAACCTGCGCTACTCTCTCGACCGCGTCACTGGTGCTAAAGCCAGTGGAGATTGAGTGAGAGCGCTTTAGCCACATACACTCATGTCTTGAGTAGAAAATCTGGCCATTGTTAGAACTCCAAGATATATACTACAAAATATCTCTGGGCCACTGTCTCTTCAACCTTTGAGGAGGATTGTAGGGATGAGTGGAACTAGATAGGGATTTTACAAGCGGATTTGGATGATTTGTAAGGTTCTGATGGAATTTGGAAACATTTTCAGAGATAAGGTCTAGGACAGATGGAATATTAAGGTCATGATGTAGAGTTTTGTAGGTTTCATATAACGGAGCATCAAAAATTGTCCAATACTTTGGACTGAAAGGATTGGATGCGTTTGATGTTAGAAAATTTAGCTGTCCCCCAAAGTTCAAGTCCGTTGGTCCAAATAGGTTTCAGGATTGTCTTGTATATCAGTAATTTGTTGTCAATTGAAAGTTCAGATTTTGTATGCAGTAGTCTATATAGTTGGCCATATCGTCTGGTAAGTCCTTGTCTTTCAAGTCTAGCATGTGGTTTACACGTTAGTCTTCGTTCTAAGAGAAAGCCAAGATACCGGACTGAGTCTGAAAAAGGAAGCTGGATGAAATTAAAGTGGACTAGTGGATAGGATCTGCCCGGAGCGTGAATGTAATGTATTTAATTTGGATTCGTTTACTTTGATGCGCTATTTATTACACCAGTGCTCAATCAGGGAGAGGGTCTTTGCAGATTTAAAGATGGTATTTCGGGATATGAGTTGAATGATAGCATGGCGGTGTCATTAGTAAATGTTGCTAGAAAGATATTGGGATGGACAGGGATATCAGCGGTATTAACGATATAAAGGACGGAGCCCAAGACACTAAATTGAGGAACACCGGCTTTAACTGGGTAGGAATTGAAAAATTCTGCACCACAGCGAACTCGAAAGGTGCGGTCAGAGAGGTAGGAGCGGAGGATTAGGTACAAGGACTGAGGTAGATAGGTTTTCAGCTTGGAAAGAAGCCCGGCGTGCCATACCCCGTCGAAAGCTTGAGCTATTTCCCGGAAACGCACCCGAGCAATATTTTGCAATCGTTAACCACGAAAACTATTGGACTATTTTACACTTGTTCCTTTACAAAAAGGTCTTAAATCCTAGATCTGAAGAGGAAAAAAAAAACATGAATTATTCGTGATTTATTTTTTTTATCCTCCAACTATACTGCAGATACACCACTCTTAGAAAACAAATCTTGTTTAATACGTTTTAAGACCATATTAACTAAGTTGAGAATTTATTTAGAAATAATTTCAGATTAATGTCATGTTGTGCAAATGAATGAATTATGAATTATGGCATGGCTTTAATTTATTATTTTTACATTACCTGGGATACATTATAATAGACATAAATTCCAAAATATCTACGTTTTCATTTGAAAAATTCAAGAAATCAGCAGGCTTCTTTATTTTATACGTAAATATTATTATTGAAAACTTTTAATTTGTCATTTATAAATAGGGATAAATTTCTATGATGAAGATATTAATTATAAAAATCAATTTTAATTGTTTGATGATAAATGTGAAGTTTACTTATGAATCTACGTTTATTATAATACATAGTTAGTAATCGGAAAAAAAATTGAAACTTTGCGATAGTATAATTTAACACGTGTTCAAAGTGGCAATATATCAAAGAACATTTTTTTTTTTTGTTTCACAACTTGGGGTGAATTTTAAATTATTTCTGAATAAACCCTCAACTTAATTAGTATGTTCTTAAAGCTTATTTAACAAGAAAGTTTTTATAAAAATGGATTATCTGTTGTATAGTTAAAGGATGATTTAAAAAAAATGCTAATAATTCATGATTTTTTTAATAAAGAACTTAGCTTTTTTGTCCGTTAAAAATGCCTGTTTAAATTGTTTTAACAATCACGAACTCCACTTTCGTTTGGAGCTGATTCTGTTAAGTTTACTGGGATACAATTTTAATTACCTAAATTAAATTTTTTTTTTAGATATCGCTTCATATTCAACGTGGCCTACTTAAAAAAACGCAAAACTTTAATTTTGCTGTATAGATTTGAAAATAAAACTGTATTAGATGTGTATATTTGTTAGTGTTGCCCAAATGCGAGACCGAGACGAGTCTTGCTCTTGCGCAACACTCTCGTAACAGACTTGCAGTTAACTATTATCTTATTATCAGAGAGACATTACTGTAATTTTTTAGATATGAAAAACCTAATTAAGTCAGAATGAAAAATTAGAAGAGTTAAATGCAAAAGGATATTGGTTACACCAATTCTTTACATATGGTAACTAAAATTGTCAAATATTAATAACTATTTTGCTTCAATTGTTATTCAAAAAATCGATTTTTTTGTCCCATTCTTGGTCTTGGTCTTGCAACAGATATGTGGTGTTGGTCTTGCCAAGTGCAAGACCAAAACCGATTTTGGGCAACACTAATATTTGTTTATATTTGTATTATAATTATATTAACGTGATATAAATAATAATATAAATCAGTAAAGTGACTTTTGAATATTTGCTGATAAGTGTTTTTATTCTTGTTTCAGCGACTGTTCGATCAGCACGAGGGTTGAAAGGATGACTTCTACGGGAGACGTGAGCCGACCGCTCTGACACAGGGAGGAGACTGTCGACAGCCATCTCATCGTCACGTCGCAGTCTTCCGATCTGTAGCATCCGAGCAAGGAGTCACATCTCAAAATATCCGCTGAAAACAATGCATTTATACCCATATTATATTATATATATATATATCATCGTATATGTGTAAAAGGAAGAAGATTTAATAAGATGAGACCTACTATTTTGTTAATACGAGCAATTGAAGCCTGAAATTGGTGGATCGGTATGGCGTAAGAATGTATATATATATAAATTAAGAATTTGTTTATATTCGATATTTTTTTGTCTTCCATGTTATCACTTGTTTGTTCTGTTTCAAATCGTTATATATATTTATTTTATATACATATGGGTAATTTGTATGCTTGCGTTTTTGATGAAAGAGCAGTTAAAAAGGAGCTTGGTTTGTCTTCACTTTAAAAAAAAGTTTCACATTAATCATTTTAGATGTATCCTAAAACATTAGTTCTGTTAATGTTTTATTGTTGTTTTTTTTTGTAAGTAAAATTTTACATATTTGAAATATTCCTAAAACTGAGCTCCTGAGAAGCTGACAGAGGCATACCGCTACTAAGTGGCCGCCACTTGTGGCTGGAGTGGACGTTAATGGCAGAGATCTTGGCTGGACTCCAGCGGCTCTTGCCAACCAATTACAACCACACGGCTCTGGAGAATACCGAGGTTCCAGTTTGTTCTAAGGGGAGCAACATATTTCATATTTAAAGTCGGATTAGTCTCTATCGTATGTTCTATAAAATATTGCAACTAATTACTAATTTACAAAATAAATTACTATCACGATTACAATTCACTATTTCACTTTACTAAATGGTGTTGCTAACATAATTTTTGTTTATTACAATAAGCTTAATTTTTTTTATTTCATTTTTATTCAAGATTGAATATCCGTCTAAAATTTTACTTTTTTTGAAAATGTACATAATACATATTTACTTTCTTACAATGGCAATAAGGACAAAGACAATGATAAAAACACTAAATTTTCTCAAGCAATATATAATTAATACTGATCGGAGGAAAAGTTCTAATTTGTAAAAAAAAAATAGTTATAAATTACAAAACAAAGTGCATAAATAAAAGATCATTTAATTTCATTCTTACAGCATTCATTTTTTTTTAAAATCTGCATGTTTAAAGGCACATAGAAAACGCAATAATACATTATAAAATAAAATCATATTCTGAACCTTTATGTTTTATATACATAATTCTTACCATTTTTTATAATTGTGTTGTTTGGAATAATATTGATATGTAATAAGTGTAAAACTATGAAAACGTGATGTGTGTTCCTAAATGAGAATATTTTTCCGATACTTCACAATTATAGAAAAATTAGAAAATGGTTAGAAATGTGAATTAATAATAGAAATATGAATTCGACCAACATGTTATTATAATACTATTTATTTTTAGTAAATTTTCAATGGAACCTCTGTGTACCTCCACTGGCAATATTGTTATTCTTGTAAGCCCAATTGTTAGTTTTCTATTGTACTAAAACTAATTGTAAATTTATGTAATACGTTTTGTGAAAATATATAAATATGTTTATGTGAAGAGGTCGAGGGTAGTATGAACCCTCGGCGCAGGTTTTTAATCCTTTTTGAGGAGGATCCGAGAGTACGTCATATATGACGAACATATTACTTCAATTGAATGCAAGGCATTTGAATTCTAATGTTAATCTGTTAAGTTGTTTAATTGTTATAAGGATCATGTTGTGATATACAGATTTATTTATGTTTAATTATTTCTAAATTATAAATTATAAGCTCCTTTATCTTCAAAACGGTATCTTTTACTTAATAAAATTGTTATTTTGGACTAATTTGTATAAAGATCTATTTGTTTCTCATTCACGAGAGCACTCGTTACGACTGATAACGGTTTGATAAATTTGTATACATTAAATGGCTTTGCATTAAATTAATTGTGTTTCGGGCCTCTCGAAACTTCGCCTGAATTAATTCATTCTTTGCAATGAGAACAATTTTTTTTTTATTAATTAATTTTTTTTTAATACGCAAATAATAGTGTAAGTGTGCTTATGCAACATTTTCATTCTAATTACTGCGTGACAACTCGAGGTCATCGATGAAGCACACGCATTAGATATATATTTTATACTTGCATATGTGTATATAAATATTGTGAATCGTTGAATACATAGTACATTCAGTAAGTGTTAAGGTTGGAGAAAGCTGATAGGCTAGCGGGTAAATAGAGTGTACTGTGGACATGACAATATTATGTGTTTATATAGGAAATAGTGCACATATTGGTTATTCTAGAATATGCGTTATTCTAGGAAAGAATATTTTAAACAAAAATATTCTATTTTATATAATATATATATATATACGTTGGTTAAAAGCTGAAGTTTAACAGTTCCACTTGGAAGTTAATATTATATATATATATGAAACAGAAAAAAAATTAATATCAGGCAAAAACTCCAAAAATGATAACCTATTGTTAGTTATAAGCTGGTAATTGTTAAAATAAATATGAGTTAGTTAATAAAATTGGCTGAAGTAATAAGTAGATGTATAATAGTCAGAGTATATACAATATAAATATTACTTATACATAATGCATACTGAGTGAAATAATCGCATATATGTATTTATATAAAAAAACGGGTCGAATAGTCCAAATCCTTCAAGTCAATTGGAATGGGAATTAATTAATTAATTGGCGAATTGTCGGCTGGATGATTCAATGGCCATAGTTCAGAGTAGCAGTGATTAATTTCCAAAAAAAAAAATTAAAAATAAAACAATTCAATAAAAACTTCAAAAAAATTTATACAAAACGAAAATTACAAAAAAAAAAAAAAAATATCACCAGCCCGTGGATTCAAATCACCCAAACTAAATTGTAAAAAATATAGTGCTTTTGTCATATTTATATAAATATATATATATTGTGTTAGACGATCTCATCATACATCCAATAAAATTGCTCAATTATATTTCGGAGCAGGCTTTAAAATATGTCCTGTATATTGGATCGAGGTGTTAAAATAAATACATAGTGGTTGTTTGTTAAGGTAGAGAATGTATAAATCTATTTGTGTTTTCGTTTTTAGGAAGCAGTTGTTTGTATCATGAAATGCGCATTGACAATGTTGATAACATGATTAAAAAAATTATGAAAAAACATCCATGTTTATATAACATTTATATTATATATATATATTAAAACTTTATAACATGAAAAATTTACTTTTGAATGTAGATAAATTTCCCATTATTTTCGTATTAATCATTTTTCTAATTAGAGGACTGTATCATTTTTAAATTAGATATGGACTTCATCACCGTCGACTATATAAACTATCAAATCATTATAGCGAAAATTATAAAAGAAACATATTTATTTAGTTTACTCTCAGAGTTTTTTTGAACATTGAATATTTCTTTATCGTCCAAAAAAATCTCGCTGCAGTGGTTCTGGCCTGATTATTATTACCAGCATTTTTGATCAATTAGGTTTTAGTCAAGGACCCCTTGCTGAATTTTAAAATTTTCTTGCAATATTGTAACCAATAGAGAAACAGATATGATTCTCAAAATTAACTATTTATTCAATAATTGTCATTTTTTTACGATTATTTATATAAATAATTATATGATTCCAGTATAAGTTTTGAGTGATAATTTTGTGAGTACTAAATCTATCATAAATGAATTCTGAACGCGTCGGAACTGGATTTTTTTTTTCAAAAGCACATTTAGTAAAAAGTGAATTATCAAATATCTCAGTTTATTTTTTTTTTCTTAAGTTCAAAAAAATAAATTATCTGTTTAAAGTAACAAAATTCACTAATCGAACGTTAAGCAGCTCCATTATAAACATAAAAATATCTGTGAAATTCTTATAAAGTTTATATTTCATTATAATACTGGAAAAGAAACTATACCAATCGACGTTTATCATCAGCTTTATTATCAAATATTCGCCTTAAACATCATAAATTATTATTTTATGTATTAAACCCTCTCCCTCATGAAATGATACAGTCCTCATCTCTAATCAATTATCTTGCGATACTAACACACAATCATGCGAACTATTTAAACACGATTGAAAAAAAAAATGAATATATTTATTTATATACCGGCCTATTTTCTTATTACAACGATTTTTTTCAATTGTAAGTCAATTTCCTAGTCGCATAATTGTAGATTTTTTTACAGAAATCAAATTGATATACATATTTATATCAGGAATATATTCCGCAGGTTATCATGTTGTTATTTAATGTATTATCACTAAATAGCTGTAGATCTGTGGATTAGTTCAGAACTAGACATAATGTGATTTTTTTTTTTTTTTAATATGAGGAATTCTTTGTTTTATAAAAAAAGATTCTTTTGGTGAGGTAAGCCATCCAAGAGGGTGAAAGAAGTTACCAACCGAACCGGTGCCCGATCGGCCATTCAACCGGTACTTAGCAAGGTTTGGGCGACGACTGTTGAAGTTAGAGTAAGTTAGAGCCTGTCTGCTTGATTATTTTGGGCCTTTATCGTTTCAATAATAATATTAGTTGTATAGATAATTGGTATTATGTTGTGATAGATTTATGTGACGCCGCTTGCTGAGGCTGGTCCTCCGCAAGTGGGTAGTGATGTTACATGGATGTGTATATTGCTTCATCATATTATTTATAAGACATACAAACATATAAATATATGAAAATACATCAAATATAAGTGATGCGATATAGATGTTAGTAAAATATTTTTAAAAGTTTTTTAAGGTGACTAAAAGCACATTGGTTTTGTTTGTTGGAAAGTGCAATAAACAATGTTAAAATAGTTATATTGTATATAAAATAAAGGATGATATCTGTAAATCTGTTTTGTTTGTTTGTTTTTTTCATTGAACCCATATTTTAGTTGATAGGTTGTATTTACCCAAATCTTTTGATATTTTGTATGAAACAACAGGATGTTTTTAAAGGTTGTCTAGTCTTGATAGTGGGCAAACTTTCTTCTTATTTCTCCCTACCCTTTTATTAAACAACAAATCAATTTCGTTCGACTTGTTTACAGTTGGATGAAGGAATTACCTGATCTCTATTTACTGTTTACCATACTACTTCTCTGAATAAAGATATATACGGGACTTTGTTTTTCGAAACTGGCACTTCCCTTTCAAAATATAGAACATTTTTAAAATATAATATTGATTATAGAATTTGAAAGCTCAGTGTGTAAGGCACTCACTTGCTGTACTCAGGGAATCGGGTTCTAGTCCGGCTATGACTTGTAATTATTTATTCAGTTAAATCAGTCGTGTATCGACCCTGAGATCAGAAGACCCTCTTGTGTGCACAAAAAAATACCCACTATAAAATGGGTATTCTTAGTTAAATAATTAATTAAGGGGGAAAACATGGCGATTGAGCGTTATATTAACTTTATCATTACCATGCACAACCGTTGTTCCTAAAACGGTCCTTTCTTATCAAGTACTGATGAGAAATCCAAGTACCTATGGGTTGTAGTTATACAGGAGGTTCAAATTGTAGTTTTGAACTCAATTATGATTCATCTCTCGAATCAAAGATTAACAAATTAAGATGACTAATTTAATCAAGAATATGATATTAGAAATCACATATTCTCAAATAGAGGAAATATTACTATTAGATAAGTCTGCTCTACATTGATATTGTATTTCACTTAACAACAGCCTCATTCCATGTTTTTGGTGTGAGAAATTCGAATTTTCACATAAAAATCCATCAGTTATCTCTAGTTACTTTTTGCGTAATATGGGGAAATTTTCTGCTTCTTGGTTGCTGGAAACGACTAGCTGTGTTCACAGAACCATTTTGCTGCCACTTGTATGCAATGTTTACGTATCGAGTTACTCTTCACGTGAGTTTTCATGCTTCAGGCATTCTTTCAACGATATTGTCGTGATCACCCAGTAGTTTTGGTAAAGTTACAATACCCAGGAATTGTGTAAATGCTCTTGACAAATTTTGTTACATTTTTGGGGAAATAAACTTAGCTAATCAAAAACTTCCTATCCCCCAGCTGATCAAGGCCTCGCACAACTGCTGCATCACATGTAGCGTAACGTTAAAAGAATAGTTGAACTAGAAAGGTCGTTCAATGCGTTTTGCTGTTCTCATGGTGTGGAGGGAGCCTACTAATCAAACCGATAACTTTGCATGACCCCTCATCTTCATCATGGAATGTATGGAAAATAAATCTGAAGGGAAGTATCCTGGCATTCCTTCTGCTATACGGACAATACCACACGGGGACGAATTGCTTGTTCCATGGCCCCCAAAACACTATGACTTGAATGAGGATGAGGATAACGAAGTGGAAATGCCCCTAGGAGGAATCCCATCAGATGATTCTGATTTTTCTTACGAGCAAAAAGAACGAAAACTCCACTTGCTTACTTAAGCTGAACTCAGTGATTTGATTCCGGACCTGGATCTGTCCAAAAAGAAAGCAGAACTTTTGGGTTCAAGATTGAAGCAGTGGGACTTCTTACAACCTGGTATAAAGATTACAATGTAAAGAAATTACAGAAAGTAAGTTTTTAAAAAAAAATATGACAACCTTGTTGCCTGTTGTGATGTCTCAGGTCTGATGACAGCATTAAATCTGAATCACAACCCTTCTGAATGGAAGCTGTTCATCCCTGTTCACCATGCTTTTCACTCAAAGAAACTTACCAAAACATGGAAACACTTCTAAAATTCATCAAATACTAGGACTACCAATGGCAAATCTGTGGGTATCTGAAAGTGGGGGTGATTCTTCTATGCATGCAACTGGGATATACTAAGTACTGTTGATTCTCATTTGAGTTGGACAGTCGGGACAGAGCATCTCATTACGTCAGGAAAAAATAGCCTCAAAGAGAAGTCTTGATCCCTAGACAAAAAAATGTTCTCTGCAAACCTTTTGTGGGCCCTGAAAAAATCATTTTGAATCATTGTCACATCATTTTACTCAAAAAATCATTGCCTATACTACATATAAAGTTAAGGCTCATGAAAAATTTTGTGGAAGGAATGGACCAATCTGGAGAGGCAAGTAAGAAAATTTCTTCGCATAAGTAAAGCTAAGGTTAAAGAGGGTGTATTTGGTGGTCCTAAAATCCGTGAGCTTCCTAATGACGTGAATTGGTGAATATTTTTCAGAGTTAAGAAAGAGCAGCGTGGGATGCATTTACAGCTTTAGTTATTGGTTTCTTTGGTAACAAAAGAGAGGAAAATTATGCTGTCTTGGTTCAAACTCTCACTGAGAAGTAAAGAGATATCGATTGTAACATGTCACTCGAGATTCATTTTCTTTACTCTCATTTGGACTGCTTCCCTGAAAATTGTGAATCGGTAAGTGACGAACATGAATGAACTTCTATTAAGTATTCAAAATTTATAATGAACTCATATTTCTTACTTTTAAATTTATATTGTTAACTAACTATTCAACTTTCCCAAAAATCAGGCATTATCAGGGAAAAAAAAATTAAAAAAGCAGGATCATTAGGATTAGGGCACTAAGCATTAAGGGACTAAGCCCTTTTTTTTATTCTTCTTCACTGACTTATTACTTTTTAGGTTTTCATGTTCTTTTTTTTTCTTAGAATAGATTACAAATGCCAGATATAATCGAAAATTCTATGATTATAAATTCATACATATTCATGAATGCGAATCTAAAAAGAACTACTGGGTAGTTGTGACGGAATTATACGATGTTTTAACTGCCATCGATTACCCATATTCTAGAAACTCTATAATTAGAGAAATACTTAGCATTTGGTGGGAGGTAAAAAATAAAGGAATATGAGTTACCTTGGTATGGATACCAGCTCATTGAGGAATTTTAGGGAATGTAAAAGCTGAGAATGCAGCCCATTTAGCAAGAAGTGGAGGAGAAGAAGAGGAAGTGACTAGATTGAAATATATCACTTTAGAAGACTGGGTATACCAAACAAGAAAAAAACAACTGGCAGAGTGGGAAACGATTGGAAAATCGAAGAGTGTAAGCTGAAAGAAGTGAAATCTAATTGCGATAAATGGCTCACTAGCACCAGAAGTTCCAGGTGTGTAGAAATTATACTGTGCCGTTTTAGGATTGGGCACTGACAGCTCACATATAACTATCTTTCAAGAGGTCTAGAAGCTCGTACTTGCGAAAAATGCAATAATACACCTCAAACTTTGAAACACCTTCTGGTAGAATGTCCACAATTCGAAAACAACAGAATATATATATATATATAAACTTGTATATATATTATATATATTAATAGCATATATATTAAGCTACTCTTTAATTATTATGCTTTAATTATAGGAAAAACAGTAAAAGATATTCTACGAAATAATGAAAAGTGGGTCTCTATCATGTTTAATTTTTCAAAGATTATTAATTATTATAATTATTATAATAGAATACAAATTATAGAAAACGCCAATGATCCTATAGGGTAGATGCGAGAAAAAGAGAAAAAAAATATATTCATATATTTTCGTGGAACTATTTACTGTGATGTTTATCCAAACAGGTTATCAAGGGCATTACAAAACTACATTATCGACTGTCTCAGGTAATTTCTGTCCTACTTAGATACAATGATGTTAATACCAATGCTTTTACTTCGTTGTGCTATTAAAGTAATATTATTGGAATATTTATATCACTTCTGGTAACAAAGGAAACTACTATCGACCCCCACATACAAAACCTAATAACAGAAGTTTCTATCCACAAGTCGCTTCCAAAAAACTGTCTCCCAGGAACATCCAGACTGTAATAAGGTATGTGTCATATTTATTTTTGCTTAGAACGTTAACACTTCCAAAGTTCATAATAATACTAAATAGCTAAATTTATTTTCAATGTTGATTATATCCTCTATTACATTTGTTGTAGAGCATTACAGACTTGTGAAACCAAAGGAGCATTTTTAAGACAAAAATAAAAATTTTCTTCCCCTCATTCCTTAAAGGAAATATTTTTGCTGAAATTTTGTCCCCACTGACTTCTTGTTTTTTTTCTATTGGTCAATTTTTATTTTGGTAGGTGAAGGGAGCATTGTCCTCCACCTTTTCTTTCCAGGTGGGTATTTCGGATTCTTTGTAATCTGACATCTAAATTTAATCTTATCTTTACGACTAATACATCTTACAATACTTATTCATGTTAGTTGTGTAGAGTTTTCCTTTGAGAACTATAGTTACCTTTAATATGCTCTATTTTGACAAAATTATTTTTCATCTTTAGTACCAAAGTTATTTAATTATTATTTATCGAACATATTATATTTTCTCATATCACTCTTAATGCCTTCAACAAAATTTAACAAATCAATACCTAATTTATATGACTATTTTTTATTTATATATAAAAAACATTTATATGAGATTTTAAATGTTATATCTTGCACATGTGTGCAATAATTAATAGTGGAAATGGTTTATACCCATACAGCAAATACTTTTATTTACTTGAAAATTGTATTAGTTAAAAACATAATATTTATTTCTTTAAATAAATAATTAATGACACTAGGAGTGTAAAACTTCTTAACCGTAAGTATTCAGTCATTTTATCTCCATGGATTCGTTTCCATCTCATTAATATTTTCTCTCATCATAAATTTATCTGAGATAGATTCAGAACGGAATATCAGTTGGCTCTCAATGAATTTTTACTTATGTTTTATATACTTAATAGGATGATTATAAAATTTTGTAGTATTTATCGAAAATTAAACCATCTAGGTTATCTCTAAAAACTTATAAATATCAGTAATACAAAAAAGAAATTATCAAAACATGCATTGTAAAGGCATTTTATTAAAGATTAGCTTCGTTGATAATTGTATGAATTTTCTTTAAAAGCATTACTGATGTACGGTTAATCAATGGAAAACAAAATTTTACCGGATTGTATTCAACAACCTTTTCTTGTCGATTTTTCTAACTTTATTGGACTCATTTAATCAAAATTATCGTTCTAGTAAAGAATATAAAATCACACAGTTAAAAGTAGCGTATCACATAATCATTTCTTGGTCAAAATTCATTTCACGATGAGAGACGTGTGTTATAGACCGCTTTTTATCAAATTATTAACATCTGCCTAAAGCTTCGTGAATAGCTTCATCATACCGCTACCTGTAATTTTTTTATCTACGAAAATTCTCAGAAATGGTACTTTTTCTCATAAAATTAATCAACTTAATTAATACTAAAAACTCATAAATACCCATTTACTTCCTACCTGAACAGTAAGATAATTTGATCTCAAAATCGAAAAATAAATGGCCTACAAAAATATTTGGCCGTTGAAAGTACATATATAACCTCATTATTTCGACATATTGGGGAGGAGACCATTCTAAGCAACCCAATATTTTTTATTCTTGATTTAGTTGTCAATTTATCTTACGACTCAAGTAAGAAGCACATGAGTGTTCATAAGTATTTAATTATTAGTAATTAATTAAATAAACAAAGTTCGTCTATCTCCAGATTAATAAAGCCCTAATTCCGGTTTTCGTAAATAAAACAATTAATAGGTTACGATGAGATGAATCTATTAACGAAGTGTTAGGCAGTTAATAATTTGATAAAAAGAAGTCTGTTCAGGGTAATACTTTGATTGTGTGGGAGAGAAAATACTGCTTTCCAATCGAAATTATTCATGAATTCAAACTACCGTATTTATTCAATGAATAAGTAATCACAAATGCATAACATTATAGCAAATGGGTTATTATTTTTTTTTTTTTGTATTATTACATGATTGTTCAAAATAAAGTTATCCGTCGAAATAAGCCAAAACTCTTTGCTTTATTGCACATATCTAATCTCCGTTGGTTCCTCAACAATCACTATAGGGCAGCGAAAGAGAACCTAGAAAAAAAGAAATATAAAAACAAAAATTCGTTGGCCATCACAGAAACAAACAGAAGGAACATAACGCGTTGAGATTTGATTTATTTCATACAAAGCTTAAAGTTGTCGGTAGAAGTTATGTAAAAGAACACTTATCGTTTCTAATGTAAGTAATGAAAGCAAGAGGAAAGAGAAGGGAGAAATAAGATTAAAAGAAATTTGTGATGAGATTTTGATAATACGTCTACAAATGCTTCGTTCTAAATACATGTTTTTATATTATGTAAGTAAAATAACCGAATACTGTCTCATTTACAATAAATACGACTTTTTCAATGCACAATAGTTTATTCAATTTTTAATCAGTCGCTATAAAAGGCAATATTATGATGGCTGAGGCAATATCACAATGGTATATTAAATATCCTTCTTCTCTTCTAATAATAATGAGAACTGTAATAATATAAAATGAGAACTATATCTC